GGCGTTGTTTCACTGAAATTTGATGAGAAAAATGAAAAGATTTCTAAATGTGATCATAGTGGCAATCTTAAAACGTTTGTCTTTCAAATCGACTTGCTCCACTGAAATGAATGGAAATGCGCTTAATTCGTTCCAGCCTCCCAAACATAAAAAAAAATTGCAATACTTTTTTTGTCTTTAAATGGCACTCTATAACATTGAACTTCATTGCATTAATATTAGTCTAAAAGGGTTATGAGACTGCCACAAAGATGCCCATCTAAAGCATTTCCCATGATATGTTAGCATTAAGCTAAGAGAGGCGTTAGCTTGACAGTAAACTGGGAGTGGCATTTGACACCTTGAATCCTTTTTTTTTTCTGTACTATCTCTCAAACCGCTGCTTGTTGTGAACTAAGTTGAGTTTAATTCATTGTCAGCCTGCAGTGCAGGTCACTCAGCAGGTCTTTCGTATCTCAAAGCATCACTCTACGTAAGCGTTGAAATGAACAAAATATTTTTTCCCTTACTGGAAGTCCTGGCCGTCAAAATGATTCCTCATGGCGAAAGCCAGCGTGGCTCGAAAGAGGAACAATTCGTTTTGGCTCCAGACATACTGCAACGAGCAACAACAAGAGCACATCAAAAGGCTTTCGAGCAGTCGCCAGATGGGCCCGGTCGCCATGGCATCAAGGGCCGTTAGCTCGCATTAGCATGCGTAATGACGATGGAGCCAGATAGTACTCACCGCGTTGTCTCCCAGAGCCGTTCGGATGCTCAGCCGAACTTTGTAGCCATCCGAAGCGCCTGCCACGATTCAAAGGGGAAAATTATTTCTGAAGAATTTTGGTGTTCGTAAAATGAGTTAATATCTTACAGAGCTGAAACGGTTTGGAATTTGTTGAATGAGCTAAAATACCAAAATGATCTTCAGTTTTAAAAATATAAGCTTTTATTTTAACCAATCACCATTTTTAGATAAATTGAATCATATTTGAACACTTTTTACTGGGTTTTGATTTCAAAACTAGTTAATCATCAATGTGTTGCGTGAATGTAAGGCAGTCACACATAGTTTTGGCTTCCCAATGTGGCCCGCGACAAAAACGACTTTGACACTCGCGTTCAAAACCATGGCGCTGCCACTCTTATAAGCTAAGGTCTCGTCGATAAAGATTCTTTTGTTTCCTACCTGGTGTGCAGAGCTGCTGAGCCGACGAAAGCGCCACAGAAAGCAGAAAAATGACCTTTCCCGACATTTTTCTCCCAAGTGAATGTTTGGTCAGCCGCAGTCAAGTTTAATGGTTAAGCCAGGACACACCTGAATTAACCTGCCTGGCCAACGGGACTCTCCTCCCGTCCGGGGAAACTGTAAAATGGTGAAAAAGTGTTTGTTCAGGCCTTCGTGTGGGAGAGGCGACCTCCCCAGCGAAAAAACACCGGCGTTTGAGTCTGTTTACTCAGCGCGGAACAATGTGCGAGCCGCTCAGTGCCAGCCGTGCACGAAATGTTCTGACCTGACGCGTGCAGTCGAAATAATAAGAATGTGCTTTGGAGTTGCGTGAAAGCTTATGCGCTGTTGTTATACCCTCGTAAACAATCCTTGAGCAAAGGTGAACGACTTTGGCTGCGATAATGCCGGACAAATCCCCAACGGTTGCCAAGTAAGGATACACGCTCAATTTTATGGACGTTAAGAATTGTCCTCTTCTTTGGCGTTCTCCGCAGAAGCTCGACGTGGCTGAATAAGGAACACACTCGGCGTCCATAAAAGCCAAAAGATTATGACGATCGTTGTAATAATTTTGGAGGTTGAAGTAGGCATAAGTAGAGATGTCCATTGCTGCAGTTCATTTCACTGAGTCGGAAGAATCCGATATTTAGTAAGTGATGAGTATTTTGGTCCGACGACTGACAAACGCATCTCAAACGACCCAGAAATGTTGTCGTTTGATCGATTCAGAAGCTGAGGTTAATTATGTGGCACGAGCGAAAGTGTCAAAATTAGTACCCAAATGACATAAACAACCAAAGTGCTTACTCCTCAGCACACAGTAGAGTTTTTATTTCTTCCTGACTTCTTTTTCTATCAGTGAGGTTGTGCAATTGCGACTACAATAAACTCCTATTTACAAGTCCAGATGGAAACTCAGTTAAACTTTGTGATCCCTCATGACCAGAAACAATAACCATATAAATGAATAGTGCTTGTGCTTTTCCATAAACATTTTACTGAGCTTGGTGACATCATAAGTGCTGATGTGGGGTGTAGTTTTTTTCCTGGACACACGATGGCAGCGCTTCTCTACAGCAAAACCAAAATAAACTTGTTAGCTTACATTTACAGTACTGCATTAAACTAAAGCTTCATGGCAGCCTTCCGACTTTCATTCAATTTCAAAATATATTGTTTTCTTTTGGATTTCCTTCAGTTTGCAAGGGAATATATAAATATTTGAAATGTGTGGTCTCCAAACAAATATTATGGTGCCTTGAACCTTCAACAGTTCCCGAATCTCTCATTCTTGTGAGGGAAAACAAAGCACAATGTCTCCTTTTAAGTCATTGAGATTTCACGTATCCAGTA